CACTGAGGCCGTCGTGGCGCCCTTGACGCCGAACCCACCAAGAGGACACGAGATTGTTGTTGGAGTCGACGACCACGACGGCTCCTGGAACAATTTGTCCTTCTTGAAGGCTTCGCGGCGTCTCGGTTACGCTACCCTGGAAGGCCTGTATTTCCGATTGGCGGACGTCCGCGTACGTTATCAGCCATTCGTACGACCGGAGCTCCAACCACGAGACCCCAGAGACCGCAAATAAACTCAGCGAGGAACGGACCCATCTCCAGAAGGAGGCGCCCGCGTTTTTCTCGGGCGCCATTTGCGCCGACGCGGACACTCGGATCCAGCGGGCGGTCTATGGAAGGTCCGACACGAGATCCAGGGCTCACGTGCCCACTCGCAAATGTCAGAAAAAGCACATGTCCTGCCCCGATGTGATGGATCGTAGCTTCCCCGCGACGGATCCAGGCCATTTGCGAGTAGTTACTCTGCGAGTAGTGGAACACGTTTGTCGAAGGGCGGCCTCTGAGCGCGCTTCCGACACCACCAGGGACAGGACCATTTGAGCCTCTAGCGACAACAGCTTGTTTGACCAGTCCAACATCCAGGCGAGTTTCTCTCTGTTTGGCAAGATCGCCGCCACCGCCGTGGAGAAGGACTATGTTTACATTAGGTACACTTCCCCACTGCGCCCGACTCGAGACGTGCTACCTCGACCTTGAGCGCGCCGAGGAAACGCGGGCAACTACGTGCTCGAAGAGCCAGGCTTTAGTCGGGCATGTCCCTCTACAGGAGAAATATTTAATAATAGTAAAAGAATAGTGCGGCGACGATTTTTCGTGCTTTTTTGACTAATTTTGAGTATGATTTGTTTGTTTCATCTGTCTTCCAAAATCCGCCTGTAGGAGGACATGCACGACCTAAAGTCAGGCGGGATCCCACCCCGCGCGCAGCCCAGCCTACGGCCAGACAGTCCTGCCAGAGGACAGGGGACGGCCGACGCCGAGTTCACCGCCAAGGAGGAGGGCAACAAGAAGCCCAAATCCAAGCATGGCCGCAGGCGCGCACGACAGCGCGCTCGTCAGGGTGGGGCCCTGACGACCTACGACGAGCTACAGAAGACTGGACTCAACCAGACTGGCATGACTTTGGACGTTCTTGAGGAAGTTCTGCATCAGCAGCCGGGCGATCGCTACTGGGACTGCAGCAAACACCACGGGCATCGGCCCCACCGGGCCGAGCCTGACACCGGAGACACCTGGGCAACCTGTACATCGGCCGCCTCAGCACGGCGCCGCCGCTTAGACCTGCCAGCGCGGCCGCGCAATATATGCCCACAATGCCAGGTCGAACACCACGTCTCCTACGCCGCGCGCAGAGGGGGGTAGGGGGAGGGGGGAAGGCTTCTTAGGAGCACCCCTGCCTCTTAGAAGGCGCGGGAATGGCCTATAGATGCAAGGCCCGCGCCTTCTAAGAAGGACGCTCCTTCGAAGAAGCCTTCCCCCCTGGCCCCCTGTCCCCTTGTGCGCGCCGCCAAACGTCTCCTGCGCCGCGCTCGACGCCGTGCTCCGATGAGGCGCCGCCCTCTGCGAGACCCACCCGCGCCCACGACCAGACCCGCGTCAGAGCCCTGGCACGGCTGAGCACTACAGTGGAGACCCATGCCAAGAAACACCTTGCTTGCTTCCAGGGTGCCCTGGGTTTCTTGGGTCTCGACGTGCCCACAACAAAAATCAATCGACGTCCTGGGGTCTCAGGCGAATTATTCAAGAATTGTAAAGAATATTTTGGGTACGATGGTTGGATTATTTGTTGACCCTTTTGCATTTTCTGTTTCAACTATGTCTCATGTTTCGCCCTTTGATTTTTTTTTTCATTTTTCGTCCAAAGTCCGTTTGTAGGAGCACATGCCCGACTGAGGACTAGGCCACGGCCAGCGCCCCGCCCTGCGCCCGGGCACGCTGGGTGGTGAGGGGGGGGCGCACGGCCAGCGGTAGCGCCGCACCGCCGGAGAGTTGCTTCGGCACCGCCCGGGGGGGGGGGCGGGGGGGGGGCACGCCTGGGCGGAGGGTCGGGACGATCGAATCGGGGCTTTTAAGAGACGGGGGTCAATGCAAATGGGGGTCAGCCAGGGCACCGGATCCTGCAGGATCCTGCGAAGGCTCCCTCTGGCTGACCCGGGTCAGCGAGCTGTTCGTGGTCGCGAGGCGGCCGCGCATATTGGTTGACCCGGGTTTGCGAAGCCCTGCGTTGCAGTTTTTTTCTTGCATTGCAGTTTTTTGTTTTTTTTGTTGACGGGGTCTGGATTGACCCGGGTTAGCAGATTCCCGATCGAAATGGGTACGGAAAGAATGGGTACGATGCCCAACAGCCGTTCTTGTTCATTTTGAACAAAACTCGTTGTCCGCGAGGCTGCGGACGTTGTTCTTTGAAGGCCAAGTCGCCTGCCCGACAGCGGCCGCTGTCGGTTTCGAACACCATTTGCTTTTGGGCATTGTGCCCATCTTTCCGTACCCATGTCGGGCGTCCAAAGGGGGGAGGGGGGGGGCGCCCCCCGTCTTCTATACCTCGCCCCGTTCCTCTCCTACAGTAGGTTCGCGTCGCGTCGACCAGCGGCGACCCCGCCGCGGGCGTTCAAGGTTGAACGCCGCCAGTGGCCCAGAATCGGCCTACACAGAACGATCGGGCGATCTTAAAGCCGCCGATCGTTTAAGGCTGAACGACCCACGCGGTGTCAAAGACCAACGCCGGGGTCGTCACGACACGAATTTGCCGTAACTATATTTTGCCTTCCTCTTTTGTCCCCTCTCTTCTTTCCCCCCTCTCGTCACCGTGTCCCTCCCCTCTCTTATTTCCCTCCCCTCTCTTATCTCCCTCCGCCTTCTCGTCCCCGTTTCCCGACGCTGGGTTCCCTCTCGTCCCCGTTTCCGCCGCCGCCGCCGCCGTCGTCGTCGTCGTCGTCGTCGTTGTCGTGGTCGTTGTCGTCGTTGTCGCCGTCGTCTTTGGCGTCGTCGCTCGTCGCCGTCTTTGTCGCCGTCGTCGTCGCTCTGGGGGCGGTCCCCCGTGTTGTTCCCGGGCTTGCAGCCCCCCGCCTGCTCTCCCGGGTCCCCTCCCCCTGAAAGTTGTCGTGACTTGGCATCGCTCGGACGTGTGCACTTTCCCTTGGGCGACGACCATCGAGGAACATCCTTGATCATTTCGCGAAAAGACCACGCACGAAACCGAAACAACCACAGGGAATGGACGTCCGAGCGATGGCCAGATGAAGACTTCCCTGCTTCCCGCTTGCCCTCTTTGCCCTTGTCCCGTCTCCCTGCCCTGCCCTTTCTCCTGGGCGTTTTCCAGGGCCCGCGGGCTGCAGAGGGCTTCGGAGGTCCTCGCTTGCAGTCTCTCCTTTTTCCTCTCGTCGTGGTGTGCTGCTCCTCCTGGCCCCATCCTCCTTCCTTTCTCGCGTGTCCTCCTTTTGCTCCTTCTCTCGCTGCTGGCTCTGTCGCAGGGGTCGGTCGACCCGAACGTTGTTTTGGTGATTTCGTGGACCGTTTTCGTTTCGACTTCGTTTTGCAGCAAAGGCGGACTGAAGACAAGACGAGGGAGAACGAAAACAAAACGAAAACGAAAGTCGGTCCCTGCTCTGTCGTTCTCCCTCCAGTGACCCCCCCTTCCATGCGGGGCACAAAGCGTGCCAGCTTCCAGCAATGCCCCCCCGCTCCCTGAAAGGGTGGGGGAAGCGGGTGGGGGGCGAATGCAGCGTCTGACAGACACAATTGCCACCAGATTTCACTCCTCAGGAGGGGGAGGGGGAGGAGGAGTAGGAGGAGGAGGAGGAGGAGGAGGAGATGGAGGAGGAGATAGAGGAGGAGCGGTGGAGGAGGAGGAGGAGGAGGAGGAGGAGGATGAGATGGACAAAGCAACATCGCGAAAAGCTCAAAGTGAAGCCCGAGACCCACACTTGAAGGAGGAGGGGGACGAGGAGGAGGAGGAGGAGGAGGAGGAGGAGGAGATGGAGGAGGATATGGAGGAGGCGTGGTGGAGAAGGAGGAGGGGGAGGATGAGATGGACAAAGCAACATCGCGAAAAGCTCAAAGTGGAGCCCGAGACCCACTCTTGGAAGAGGAGGAGGAGGAGGAGGAGGAGGAGGAGGAGGAGGAGGAGGAGGAGGAGCAGAGGAGAGGAGGAGGAGGAGGAGAGGAGGAGGAGGATAGGAGGAGGAAGAGGAGGAGATGGAGGAGGAGATGGAGGAGGAGAGGTGGAGGAGGAGGAGGAGGAGGAGGAGGAGGAGGAGGATCAGATGGACAAAGCAACATCGCGAAAAGCTCAAAGTGGAGCCCGACACCCACTCTTTTTGCAGCAGTGTTCCAGCAGAATCGTTCTGTGACGGTCCTTGGGCCTAGAACCGGGCGAAAACTCCCGCTGTGGGACAAAATATTTGCCTGGCCCTCGGGGGAGGAGGAGGGTGCTGGATGGCCACATGCGAACCCTACCCCACCACCCTACGAGTTCTAAGGGGGGAGGTGGGGTAGGGTTCGCATTTGCCCTCCCAGGCGCGAGGGTCGATGGGGGGGAGCCTGGGAGAGGCCTGGGCCGGGTGTTGCCAGAAGTGCCCCTGGCCCAAGGTGCTCCCCCAGGATTCCCACGGAGAACCCCACGGCCTCCGGAGCACGCCCCTCACGAGGCCCAGAGGGCCCCATGTGCCCAAAGATGAAACGACAGACCGGGGGCACTTTGGGCCAGGGGCACCTTTATCAAGCAGTGGCGAAGCGTACCGGCTTGCCTATAGGCCCATCGAAAAATATTCCAAGAGCCTTCTGTGGTCTGCACGGAGCGTCCTTAGACCATTTCTGGCTGAGAACATTTTTGTTTTAGCACATCAGGTTTATGGCCTGAGAGCATTGTTTTTCGTTTTGCTTTTTTTAATGCTTGGGGGGTTCTGAGAGCATGTCGTGGTGGGCCCAGAGGAATGCCGAGGTGGTCGGTCCCTGCTCAGCTTCAGCAGCTCCCGACGGGGGGGGGAGGGGGCGGGACAGGCCGCTGACCCCCGCCTCCGCGCTGCGCGACTTGAGGATGTGGCTTCAGAGGCTGCGCGCCGCGCCGCGGGGGGGGGGGGGGGGGCGCCGCGGGCGGGGGCGGGGCTCGAGTTCTGCCGACTGGCACTGGCGTGCGGCTCCTCCTCCTCCTCCTCCTCCTCCTCCTCCTCCTCCTCCTCCTCCTCCTCCTCCTCCTCCTCCTCCTCCTCCTCCTCCTCCTCCTCAGCCGTTCCTCCCGAGCGGAGGGGCCAGGCCGCCGCGCGCGCGGGGCCCCGAGCCCCCCTCGGGTCCCGTCGGCAAACTTGGGAGCGGCAGCGCCGACGGGGAGCCGCCAGACATAGACCGCGGCAGAGAGCCGACTGGAGGGCAGCAGGTACCATGGAGGGCTCCTCAACGGCGTGGGGAGATGGAGGGAATCGTGCGCCGCCCCAGCGACAAGGGGGGCAAGCAGAGGCTGCGCGTCGTGGCAACTCGCAGCCCCACGGCCAGAGCTTCGCTGGAAGCCCATTCTGGTTCTGCGCGTCATCTGCCACTGGCCCGCGGCCGCCGGCGCGAGTGCGCCCCAGTGTGTGTTGCGGGAGGATGAACAGTGCAACGTCTATCTCTCTCTAGGTTTGGGGGGCACCGAGGACTCGCCGCAGCGTTCGGGCTCCCACTTATCCAATACCGTCTACAGGAGCATGGCGCTGTACATGTTGGCGGCCATCGTGCACTACGGCTGGCCCTGCTCCTTCTTGTGCAATGGCATCCTGAGCTCTTTGTTTGGTCATGGGAGTGGTAAGTCCTCCCGTTCCTGAGGGTTGGTGATAAGCCCGACAAGAACAAAAGAGTTATGCGAAAAGCACCAGGAGGAGGTTGAGGGTGAACCGAGAAACCCCTGTTTCGGAGTGGGCGCTTGGCCCGCTGTATCTCGAGCGCGCGTCAGTGGCCAAGGTGCCGCTGGGATGGAGCGTCCGAACGAGATGTTCCAGCACCCAGATCATAAGAGAGGGCGCTCCCGTTAGGGCCCCTTTCAAGAAAGGCCCCAATCGCAGACAGGAAATAGCCCAGGAAATAGTCCTCCTCCTCCTCCTCCTCCTCCTCCTCCTCCCCGTCCTCCTCCCCGTCCTCCCCCTCCTCTTTCTCATCCTCCGCCCCCTCACCTCCTCCTCCTCCTCCTCCTCCTCCTCCTCCTCCTCCTCCTCCTCCTCGTGCCCTCCTCGAGAGCTCCCGCCGGCTCCTGGTGGGCACGTCCCCGCGACCTGCAGTGGCCCGACGTCGGAAGAGGAAGAGGTGCTGACACGTGCTGCGACCCTTCCCCCGTCGCCGCGGCTGGATTCAGAAGGCGCCCCGGGAGAGGGGAGGGGCCCCTGGACTCGCGGTATGAACATCTCCTTGCCCTCCCACCACTAAGCACGGTAGGTTCGCATCGCGCCGACCAGCGGCGACCCCGCCGCGGGCGTTCAAGGTTGAACGCCGCCAGTGGCCCAGAATCGGCCTGCATGGAGCGATCGGGCGATCGAAAACCCGCAGATCGTTCAAGGTTGAACGATCCACGCGGCGGTGTCAGAACCAACGCCGGGGTCGTCGCGACACGAACCTGCCGTAAGGGCCTGCCAGTTTCAGGGGCGGGCTGGCGCAGCCACCAGCTTGTCCGTCGGTATTGGTTGCGGCCTGCCCGTTGGCCCGTCTCGTCGGCGTGCCCGCTCGATGTTGTGTCAGCCTCCAGGGAAGCCCTCGCCGGCTCGGCTGGACGTGGCTTCCACCTGTCAGGATTGTTGCCAGGGGGTTGAGCTGGAAGGGGATTGACAGGATGAAACCCAGAGTTGGAAAATGAAAGGTTCAATCAAATCCGCATTTGGGACGGATTCCGCGTCACAGAGCCATTCAAACCAGAATTTCTAGAGGATTGGATTGGACAGGAACGTTCGCCCTCAAATCCAGAGTCGGAACATGTTTTTCGCACTCGGATCCGAACGACAGCTCGCATGGACCACGAGGGTGTCCCCTGCGCGAACGGTTTGGCTCGCAGTCGGTCGCGCCGGCTGCGTGCTTCTGCAGGGCTGCCCACGGGCGACGAGCAGGCAGTCAGCCAGCATAGTCAGGATGGGCATTCTTCCCAGGGGTACCCTTTGCATCCTTGCCCCTTCGGCCCAGGCTTCGCGGCTGTCGCTGGCCAGCCTCGCTCGAGAAGCGCTGACATGGGCTTCGAAGGCCCTTGCATCCTTACCGCGCATCCCTATGGTACCGGCTGACATGTCCACGAACGAGACGTCACACACTATCATTGCATCGCATCTGCCCCAAAGTGTTGCCCCATCCCTCGGCCCTGTTCCTGAACACCCGTGGAGGCAGCGCAGCCACAGCAGCCGCTGTGCCTCCCCGGATCCGCGCCCTCGCGGCGTCGGGAATCCCCGGGCGCGACCCCGCGGGCGCGCGGCCGCACGACGGAGCACGGGGACGCGCCCCGCAGCCGTGGGGCTTCGCGGCCCCGGCGGGCACGGCCCGCGAGGCCCGCGGGGTGTTTGCCCCCTCCACGAAGGGACGAAAAACACAAAGACACATGCGATCGTCGATCCCCCAGGACACCTATGGGAAAGTATGGGAAGGGGGGGGGGAAGACGAAAGCCCAGAAAATACGGGACAAGGGGGGGAATCCTGCGATTTGCGTCTATCGACTTGCGAGTCCCAGGGCCCCTTCACCCCTGCCCTGCGGCCTGGCCCGGCGGCTGCCGTGCCGCTCTCGGTCTCGCCGTCGGGCGCGCGGCCTCGCAGACTGAAGTCGGGCGCGTCCCTCTACAGGAGGGATATTAAAAAATAGAAAAACATAGTCTGGGGACGATTCTTCTAACTTTGTTTGAATACTGTTGGGTACTTTTTGAATATCGTTCGACGAGTTTCGCCCGAAATCCGCATGTAGGGGGGCATGCCCGACCTAAGCGTAGAGGTCGACACCAACACCAACATCGGCAGTGTGCCTCCACCGAGGGAAGAAGATCCCGATCTCGGTGATGGTGATAATATTCTGGCTCCAAGGTGACCGAAATAGTACCACCATCACCGAAATCTAGGATCATCTTCCCCCTGTGGAGGCAACCCCCTATGTTGGTGTTGGTGCCCATTTCCAGGCCTCCAACGGCCCGTTTTTCTCGGTCCTGCCGTCGTCGTCGTGTGCACCCGCGGCTCCGTGTGGGTACCGGTGTCGTGCGCGGCCTGCTTTGGGGGGGGCGAGGTGCACGTGCTTCTGGTGTTGCGTACTGCTCAGAGGGGACAAGGTACCCATACCGCTACCCTACGATCGTCGCCACCGCTGGATTTGCCTCGAAATTCTAGTCAGAACGTTCCCTGGGAGAGGTCCAAGGAGTAGCGGTGTCCCCAAATGCGGGGGCGATGCATGGGGGGGAAGGGAGGTGCACCTTTTGTATACCCCAAAAAGGAGCTCTAAAGGGGCCCCCTACAGGGTTCCTTGCGGTTCGTCCGATTCGATTCGAATCGACGTCGATGGATTCCGATTCCGCTCCGATTCTACTTGACTTTCCGATTCGAATTCCGATTTCTTCACGTGGTCTTTTTAGCTTGCCGATATCCGCCTAATCCGACGCATGTCGATCGCCGATACGGCTTGTCGACTCGAGTCTGGGCTTTCCTGCCTTGGGAGGCCCACCAAGGCACCAGAGGCGCACGTTTCGTCGTCACCCCATTCACAGTCAGACCGCATAGTAATGATGGGCAATCTTCCCAAGGGATCCCTTGCATCCTTGCCATCCTCGGCCCATCCTTGGCCGCCATCGTCGGCCGCTCCCCGCTCGAGGAGCTTCGAAGTGGCCCTCCAAGGCCCTCGCATCCTTATCGTGCGTCCTGATGCTACCGGTCGCCTGCCCAGGCGCGCCCGCCGTGGCTCGGCGCGCGGCTGGCCCGAGCCCCAGTCCATGCAGGGGCGTCAGCCGGCTCCCTTAGGAGACTGCTTCTGTAGGGGTCCGCCGACCACCCAGGTTATCGGGCCCGTCCGCCCCCTCCCCCCTTGCGGTGCGTCCTGGACTTTCCTGGAAGGGGCGCCACAGTGTCGAGGCGCATGGGATGTGGATAAAGCTCGAGCCTCCAGGGGGCAGGTTTATCCATACCCAGTGCGCCTCGGGTTTCTGGGGGGGAAGAGGGCCCGAAACTCTATACTGCAGTGGACATGGACAGAAGTTGTTTGCCCACACCCTTCCCTGGACAACCTGACCTTGTCGGTTGCGCAGGTCCGAAATAGGTGCGAAGTATCTCTGCGCGCAGGCATGCGTGGGGCTGCCCAGCGAAAAGGTGGGATTATCGGCCAGCCCCCCCCCCACCAGACACACTGGACAACCCAGGTTATCTCCGAACAACACAACGGTCTTTGGGTCTCCCCGAGGGGCGCCAGCAAAATCAAGGCAAGCATTTGTTGGAGGCATTTACGGGATGGTGGCGACGAGTTCATTGAAGCCACAATTTCGGTTGCCTTCGGTGAGCTCACTGCCTGAAGTGTAGCAATGTTTGCCTTCAGTAAGCAATAGCTTGTCGCGGTTTCGACCGTGGAGATGCCCTTCTCAAGACGCGAGGTCGCAAGGGCGCGAAGATGACCGCGCATCGTTGGGCGCGATGCGCGAAGTTTGGTGACCCAGCCCTCGGCGTGGTGTTGCCGGGTCGTTTCCGTCCCCGCGTCTCCAGCACAACATTTGCGGTGGTTGAGATTGTTGGCTTGTTTGCAAGCCCCATGTTGAATTTGGCAACCTGCTGCGGCCATCTGCGATATGCTCACTGTTTTCAGGAAAAGTGGTCATGTCGCTCGACGACCTCTGGCGATTTCCGCGAGTTTGGCGACCTCCGTACCTTTGTTCGGCGAAGTTCAAGGTCGGAGAGAGGGTGGATCCGTCTACGGTACAATCCCTTTCTAGAGCAGGCCTCACATCAGCGACGCAACAAAGACGGGGTCTTCTCCGCCGACATCGGCGCGTAAGCTGCCCGCGTAAGGTCACGCGCAAGCGCCCTCGTCTTCAGTGTGGCGTGCCGCGCTGGGTGGCCCGCGAAAGCCGCGGCGTAAGGTCGCTGCGTCATCTCGCGTAGGACCCGTTTTTAATCGTCGATCGCATGGT